CTACATTACATGCAGTGAGGAATCTTTCCGCTTCCATTCACACCACGCCAGATGCCTTTACATGTTTGCTGCTGCTATCTTTCCTGGTATCTTTTGCAAAAGACATTCTGGAGTCTGTGGTCTCAGGGCCTTGCCTGTCCCAGACTGACCCATCAGAGTGTTTCCTCCTGGTGGGATGACACCTTGAACTTCAGTTGCCACCTGCTGCTCCTCTGAAATGGTCACTGGTACTGGCCAAGTCCTAGAAGAGTAGGTCATTTCTCCCACTGTCCAGGCTCTGCAGGCCATCTGGGGCTAGAGGAATACAGGCAGTGTGTGGGAATACAGGCAGTGTGTGAGGGCTAGCCACTTTGAAACTATCTGGGATGTAGATTTTGAGGGAACATCTGGAGCTGCTGGGTTGTTGGAACGCGCGCGCGCGCACACACACACACACACACTCGGCAGAAGGTAAAATTAAGGAGTTCAGGGTAAAATCTTTATCTCAGGTGTACATTTGAAACTTTTAGGCCATGGTCCTGGTAGTTGGGGAAGGGAAGTCCCAAGACTAAGGAATAGGGAGAGATCCCACCCTCAGGAATAAAAGGGTTAGGCAGGTGAGGAAACAGGCTGTTGATTGACAGTCCTTATCTGGAGTCCACTAGACCTGTGAGAGGTGGATTCAAGTTGATTCCATGAAGCTTAGAAGGATATTTTAAGCTTACCAAAAGAGACAAAAATTTCAGATATGTTAGCATCACCACCGTTTGTAATCTCTACTGAAACCCACACTTTCGGAAAGGCAGACTCACACCTCTGAGTCACAGTAAAGGTTTGGGGACCTAAAATTATTTTTAGAAGCACTCTTTCCTCTGTCCAGAAGACTGGTGTATGTAGAGCAGACAGATTTTTTTTTAAGTATAATGAGAAGCACTTTTAAGTCTATACTTAGAAGATAACCAAAGGAAATTTAAAATCTTGAGATTGTGACTATGATAGTAGAAGTCATTGCTTACCAGAGCTAGATTAATAGTGTATCAGAACTGCATTGGTTAATATTAAAACTCAACTTCTGAAGTCTTAATATAACAATAGCATAGTGAGGGAAAGAAATCTGAAAGTTTTAATTTTTACATATATCTTAAATCATACACACACACACACACACACACACACACACACACACACACACACACGGGGAGGTTGATTTAGGGTTTTTTGACATAGGGTTTCTCTGTGTAGCTCTGGCTATCCTGGAACTCACTACTCTGTAGACTAGGCTGGCCTTGAACTCACAGAGTTCACTTGCCTCTGCCTCCCTGAGTGCTGGGATTAAATGCATGTGCCACCACCATTCGGATTAAATCACATTCTTATAACTTTATAGATTTATAAAGATTTTCTTAGATCCTCACATCTCAAGCTTCCTTATTCTCAGAGCTTACATAAATAACCTTTACACTTTTTTTCTATCCAACCATATGCTAAGAGACACAGGTGGTTGATTACTGAGTGCAGTTGTTGTAAATTGAGTTCCTTTAAATAAAGGAATAATAGAAAGTCGCACTGAAATCTGTTTTGTGAATTTATCTCTTTTTAGAGTCTGGTAACAAGGTAGACTGTGTCTAGACCTTGTAGTAGCTTTAGGAACGTGAGGCCTGTTTTTCATATATGAAGAGAACTGAGAAGGCAGCTGAAGCCTTGGTTGGTGCTGTTAAACTGACATAGTTATCCCTAGGCTAGTCATCAATGCCAATCAATGCCATCAGAGGTCTAAGAAGAATGGATTTACCACAGTAAAAAGGAAACACAGACCAAGCAGTTCCTGAATCTATTAAAAATGACAGAGACTTACCGGCAACCTGGACAATCAATCACCTTACATCCCTTCATGATCACTGGGGGCAGAGGCCTCAGGACAGCATCAGTTTTCAGCCTCCAGACCCAGACGATCTGACAGATTTTCCTGTGAAGGAGGAGCTTGGGGAACCAGCCTACCTTGTCTAGGCCAAGTGGGGCAATCAACTTCCCCATGTCCTGCTTGTCCACAGTTTGGACTGGGTCCTGGTGATGGGTGAGGTGAAGGGCAGTTTTTCACCGAGTGGAAAGCCAGCTCTGGGTGAAGTTCTTCTGTGTCCATCAACATCCTTGGAGATTAGGGCTACTGCCAGGGCCAGTGCTTCTCTCCATCACAGGAAGCTTTTTATTAAACATTTTAAATGCCATAGTCAGCAGATCTCTGAAGAGTCTGAGGAGCATCTATCTACTAAGTATATCTAAACAACAAACTGCTTATTTCTGGTTACTCATTTTAGGCTTAACTTTGAAAACATATACAGGAGGCTAAATAATGTTTGTTCCTATAATGAATTACATCAGTACTTAGCATGACTACAAGTATAGTTCTGAAGACACTAAAGAATCTGGTCACCTATAAGGTGACTGACCATTAACTACAGTGTCTTAATTATCTTTAACGGTTTGCAAGTTAGTACTTCTGTAAGATTAGGATTTTTGCAGTGTTATTCCTGTTAAATTTGAGCCTTAAAAGTAATACTTTTTGAATTGAAGTTCTTTTAATTTTAAAATGAAACTTTTAATCATATTGTAAACCTGCGTAGATTTTAGGAATTTATAAACCTTATTTACAAAGTAGACCTTATTTAACAAACGTATGTGGTTACTTATCTAAATTTTTCAGGAGCTTGGCACTGAACAGTTAGCAAAGACATAGGTAGTTAGATGTAAATCTTGAAGTTAGTTTTTGTTACTCTGAGTAGACCTTTATAACTAAATTTTTATCATCATATACAGTATATTCTAAACCGGAGTTGAATCACATATATAGTATGGTGTATGTAAGTTCAGATGGTAATGAACATTATCCCTCTCCCTTTTTTTGAGACAGGGTTTCTCTGTGTAGCCCTGGCTGTCCTGGAACTTACTCTGTAGACCAAGCTGGCCTTGAACTCACAGAGATCTTTCTGCCTCTGCCTTCTAAGTTCTGGGATTAAATGCATGCAATGCCATCATCTGGCTATTTCCCTTTCCTTGAAACTTGTTACCACCCTAGTACTGAGTACTGAAAATGCCCCCATCCTGGATGGTGAGGCCTCTACTCCCCCCCCCCATGTGTACCCTGGTCAAAGCATAGTGCCATGTGAAGACTTGTTCTGTCTGTCCCCACTCTGCTGCTGGGTAGGCCAGGGGAACCTCGTAAGTTACCTCAGAGTGAGTGACCCTCACCCATGGAAGTAATGCCTCAGTGACCAGGGATCTCAGGGTCACTGTTGCAGGCTGTGTCAAAAATCTGGGAGGCAAGAACTGGTGAATGGAAAGGGTTTGCTTACAGTGTGGGCAAGAACCGGAGAGAGCCGAACTTCGCTTCTCTCTGCAGTGGTAGAATTCTAGAAAGTAATTGTATGAAATTTTCAAAAAAAAAAAAAAAAAGAGATAAAATATTTTTTTAAAGGTTAAATTTGGATTTAGGTGCCCCCAGCATCCACCCCTCAAGCCTCACTAAGTAGTCCAGGCTTGTAGCCTCCTGCCTCCGCCTCAGGGGGCTGGGATCACAGGTATGCACCAGCTCTATTTTTTTTTCCTCTCCATTCTATAGACACTTTAGTCCAGTACCCACTGGCGCTAAGAGAAGGGTTGGAACCACACAATCTATGCACCTAGCACCCAGAGGGAGGTAGGCATCAATCAATCGAGTGATTGCATGGCCAACGACAAAGGGAATTGGAGACAGGGTTGGAAACTAGAAAACTAGGTCTGATAAGAGCTGGAGTCCCTCTCCTGAGAGAGGCCAGGAAGGGCTTATCTGGGAAGTGACTTTGGAGTTGAGAGTAAAGGATATATCTACAAGGGTTTAGCTGATGAGAGGCTGGAAGAACATATTCCCCCAGAGGAAATCCTAGATGCAAAAGCTGTGTAGAGGGAGCATGATGGGGAGAGGGGAGGTGTCTGGGGAGAGAAGGGTCTGCAAAAGATGCAGGAGTTCCCTGCAGGACCTCATCGGCTGAATTAAGGTTTTTGATACTTTATCCTCAGCACAGTTGTGAGATATTGAACATTTTTAAAGAGCTAAACCCTGTCTGACTTAGTAAGCCTGGCTCTGATCAGCGTCTTTGCACTGCAGATTTCTAAGGCAAGGATTCAGATGGTTTTGGTCACCATAGCAATGGCTGTGTGGACACAACCAATTATGATAATAAAGCCACACACTTGAGCACTGGAGGATATAAAGGGACCCGGTTCTCGGTGAGCTTTGATGGAAAACATTCTGCCCACACAAGGGGTCTGATGTGTGAAAACGGTTCTGTCATGAGTATGAAAGAAACCCAGGGACCACAGAGCCAGGATGCTGGTGCCATAGCAACCCTGGTCCAAAGGGCTTTCTCTTCTGCATTTTCAACAAGAACCCAAGGAGCATGGGGCGGGGCAGAGAGGTGAGACACCATGCCCCTGTCCACCTGCATCACATAATCACCCTGTTTTTTATTCTGATAAGCTCTGGCCCCAGCAGAACCAGGTACCTTCATTCTGAAGATGAGAAAACCAAACACAGAGTGATGGTGCTGGCTGCTGACACGCTAATGTCAGACACCTGTGGTGTCTGGGTCGCGAGGTCTGCCTAGCCCCTTCCTCCCTCCCGGCTTAAAGACCTTGTTTCCATAGACTGAAGTGGGAAGATCATGAATTCGAAGCTAACCTGAGCTACACAACGAGACCATGTCTCAAAAAGGGAGAAAAGAAAGGAAAAAGAAAAGAAAAGGACCCTCGTAAAAAGGAGTAGTGTTCACCAAAGAATTTTCCCTCCAAGTTGGAGAAGGCGCCCCAAGCCTGAATATCGCCAACGCGCTTCCGGAGAAAGCCGAAGAGTGAGAAGCTGTTGGCCGAAAGTTGCCGAGCTCTTACGGAGATAGGCGAAGAGCTTCGGGAAGAGCCAAGTGGCAGAGCCAGAGCTCGGAAAGGTCTCCAGGAGGCACCACCCCCGCAGGGGCGGGGTCGTGTGGCGGAAGAGGCCCGAGGATTTCCGAAGAGGGCGGAAGTGGCGCTGCCAGGGTCCGGACGGGCCGAAGGCATGGCCGAGTCGTCCTCGGAGCGGGAGTCGGAGGCCGAGGCGCTGGCAGCGGCGCGTGAGCGGAGCCTCGTCTTCCTGCGCGGCCTGGAGCTGATGCAGCAGGGCGCCGAGGCGCGCGTCTTCCGCGGCCGCTTCTTGGGCCGCGCGGCCGTGGTGAAGCACCGCTTCCCCAAGAGCTACCGGCACCCGGTGCTGGAGGCGCGGCTCAGCCGGCGGAGGACGGTGCAGGAGGCGCGAGCGCTGCTCCGCTGCCGCCGCGCGGGTGAGGGGGACCGGACGGGACGGGAGGGTGGCGGTGGGGGGGGGACGGGTCAGGACGGGACTCAGACCTGGGAGACCCGATCGGACGCCATTCTGTGTGGTTCGCGCGCTGCTCTGCCTTCCACCTTGTCCTTTCGCCTCAGTTCCCCGGTTTCTACCGTTTCTGCTCACCGTCCTCCTCTCTCCACTTGGTTAGTTTTAAGCTGCAGGCGCCCCGGCAGGCTCCCCGGATTCAGATTCTAAGCGCTGCTTCCCGCGTGGCCCTTCAGCGAGTGGTTTAGCACCCCATCCTGTCCCCGCGCGCCTCGGTTTCCTTGTATGTAATGGGAATCTCAGGGATGTTGTGACTTTTAGAGGTCTATGAGTCACATGTTTGTATGCTGATAAAGCATTCATTAAAGTCTGATTTCATTAAATGATTCTTTTTTTCCCTTTAAAAACTACATTTACACCCCCACCAGCAAAACTGTCCTCCAGAGAAACTGAGGCACAAAGGGAAAGTGCCTGAGATTCCGCAGCCACCACGTGCGCCGTCTGCTGCTTAGAAGCACAGACCCTTTGCTTTTTATGCTTACTGGTTTTTAGGTGTCTGCCTCACAGCAGGACACTGATAGGTGCCAGGCCATGGGGGAAACTCCACAGTGATAGGCCTTTATTTTCTTACTCTAGCAGAGTTAATGGAGTTATAAAGTAGTGTTCATATTTTCTGTTTCACCTTTTATAAGTTTTATCAGACAGGGATGGTGGCTACCCTGATCCCCATTGACAGGTCTCCAGTTTCTAGGAAAGAGTCCTGAATGTGGTTGACATTCAGGAGAGATTCCTGGAATTAACTGGAGCTATTGTTACCCCATTATGGTATGGGGAACTGAGATATAGAGAAGCTAGTGGGACCTTGAGGTTTCACAACTAATAAAGATGGAGCTGGGATTTGAACCTGTCTGTTCTGGAACTAAGATGAGATGCTGCTTAGCCTCCAGCTTGTCAGGTAGAAGCTGCTCTGACTGGAGGATGCCTTCCCTTCTGGCCTTTTGTGTTTTTGTTGGGTTTTTTTTTTTTTGTTTTGTTTTGCTTTTTAGGGAGTAGCCATGAGTTCCTGTCCTTAGGTGGCTTGAGGAACAGGGAGCAAGCTTTGACACTTGTGGACATAGCCTGGGCCGCACGCGGGGCCACAGCCCTGCAGGGCTTGAGCAGGGGAGCCTCTGGCTAAGTTATATCATTTCCACAGTATTCCTAAACCCTGTTCCAGAGTACGTAGATTTGGGTGAAAACTTGGCTCCACCCACAGGAATGAGACCTGCCTTCATAAAGAATACAGTGTGTGCTAACCATGTGTGTGTCCATTGCAGGGATAGCCGCCCCAGTTGTCTTCTTCGTGGACTATGCTTCTAACTGCTTATATATGGAGGAAATCGAAGACTCTGTGACAGTTCGAGATTATATTCAATCCGCCATGGAGACTGAGAACGGCCCCCAGTGCCTCTTGGGCTTGGCGGGGAGAATTGGGCAGGTTCTGGCTAGAATGCATGATGAAGACATCATTCACGGGGACCTCACCACCTCCAACATGCTTCTGAAACGGCCCCTGGAGCAGCTGCACATCGTCCTCATCGACTTCGGCCTGAGCTTTGTGTCTGGACTGCCAGAAGATAAAGGCGTGGACCTGTACGTCCTGGAGAAGGCCTTCCTCAGCACCCACCCCCACACCGAGGCTGTGTTTGAAGCCTGTCTGAAGAGCTATGCTGCTTCATCCAGGAAGTCCAGCCCAGTGCTGAAGAAGTTAGATGAAGTGCGCCTGAGAGGGAGAAAGCGCTCCATGGTCGGGTAGCAGAGTTGTTGTAATGACGGTTTCACAGTGAGGATGCTGTGGACGAGGTTGGACCTCTGGCTGTATTGTTAACTGACCTGTGATTGTGCTGGGCCACTGTCATCTGGGGCTCACTGTTCTCAGGAAGCTTAATGTACGTAAGGCCTGTTCAGGCAGAGCTGGGTGAGTAGCCCAGGCTGGCCTCAGATGGGCTATGTGTGAGGATCAGTAGCTGTGCGCTGATGTCCTGCATCCTTGGAGGGGAGGTTAGCAATGCTCACGGCCTCACCCATGCCAGGCAAGCACTCTGCCAACTAAGCTACATCCCCCATCCCTACACTAGAGTGTTGTTTCACATCAATCCAAACAGGCGTTCCCTCAAACAGTGGCTTGTGGGCATCACCCATGGCAGGTGGCATTGAGCTGAGAACAAAACTCTAGTCCTGAGGGATAAACGGGGACTCAGTTTCGGATATCGTTTCTGTCTGCCCTCTAACCTGGTGGAGGTTTGTTGTGTGTACGAAGACTACTAAAACCAGTCTAGTGGGCTATAACCCTCACTTTCAGAGGGCAGAGTAAACCCTGGGACATGGTGGGCTGCTTCCCAGAGCTTGTTTCAGGTGTGTATTTTTACATGGGTGTGTTTGGGGTTTGTTATAAAAGGTGTTTTTGAGGGACTGGAGAGGTGGCCTTGTGCTCGTTCTTCCAAAGGTTCCGTTTCCAGCACTCAAGCCTAAGGGACCCAGTGCCTCCGTCTCCCCAGGCACCTGTACACAGGGGCCCTCCTCCCAGACACACACACATAATTAATTACAAATAGTAAAGATACATTCTTACAACATTTTTGACAGTTGCAGTAAAAAAGATGAAAAAAAGTACTCCAGTGTGGGTTTTTACTGCTCTGTATCCATAGGTTTGAAGCTCATGGAGGTAGAGAAGGGAGTTGGTATCTCGGGCCTTGGGGGTTGGGGGACAGAGCAGAAGTGCCTTGCTATGAAGTTGGTAAGTGGGTGGACAGTGTCTGAAAACTGGGTTCTAACCAGACTAGGACTGTGTTTCATTCACCACAACTGTTGCTGTCTGAGTGTGTAGCATGTGACAGATAGCCAGGACAGGATGAAGATGTCCCTTCCTGGGTGGCTGTTACTAATATAGATTACTATTGCCAACTCTAAAACAGCTCTCAGGATGTCTTCACTATAGGTGGGTGGTAGACTGGACAGGTCACTAGCTCAGGTACCACAGAAAGCAAGAGATGCTCTTACCTGCGTTCTTTCACTGAGTTTCGTGTGTGTGTGTGTGTGTGTGTGTGTGTGTGTGTGTGTGTGTGTGTGTCAGAGAGAGTATGTGAGGTAAGGTCTAATATTAACCCAAGCTAGCCGCCACCACCCCAGTGTGAGCCACCACACCAGGCTTTCTACTGATAGGACAAGAAGTAAGAAAATGGGTATGATGGACTTTCTGAGAGAATGATTTGTGTTAACATCTTCAAAGAGTTCAGTTTCCCCACATGCAATAAGGGTGGTTGCATGGAGAAATGACCGTCTGATGCGCATGCACACGTACGTCAGCAGATCCAGTGCTCATGGTGCTGGTCCTGGGGATTTGAGAGGAGCTGGGGTGGGGCCTGTATACTTCCTTTCCTGTAGGACACAATGCATAGCCACATAACTGCTCAGTGGTGAGAGAAGTTGTAAGAAAACCAGCAATTTAGGAACTTAGGAGCTCATTCCAGGGGAAGGATGGTCACATGCCAAGTTGGTGAGAAGTCCTGTGGGACAAGGCCAGTGTGGCATGCATCAACTGAGGAGGAGGAACAGAAAATGAGTGAGGAGGTGGGCAAGGGCCAGTTCATACAGGTCCCCTATTAAGACAGTTTTTTCCTAAGATTTATTTATTATGTGTACAGTGTTCTGCCTGCAGTCCAGAAGAGGGCACCAGATCTCATTACAGATGGTTAAAGGCCACCATGTGTTTTCTGGGAAATGGACTCAGGACCTCTGGAAGAGCAGGCAGTGCTCTTACCTGTGCTCTCCAGGTCCCTCCTAGGGTTTTAAACAGGGTGACAGCTTCCTCCTCCTTGGGTGTGTTGGTTGCTGGCATACAGAGAGCAGCAGGCCTGGAGTGGAAGTGAGATCCTTGAAATCCGCAAGGCTGCTGCTTCATCCACCCATCTGGCAGTGACCTGGGGACGAAGCAGTAGCCAGCATGGTGTGAACCACGTGACCCAGGGACACCCAGTGCAGTGTGGCACTGATGGCAGCGGCACGGAGGATAGATCTTGGCAGGTGTCTCGGGAGGGGCTGGTGCTGGAGGTGGTGAGCCAGTAGGTGCAGGAGTTTGGTCCCTCTGCAGCCAGTCTTTGCCCGTGATGGGGAGTGAACTAGCTCCGAGTGGAGTGTCAAAGGGCCCAGGGGACCTGTGCAGCTCCAGACCCTCAGTCTACATGGGAACAAGAAGTGGGATGAGTCAACAGCTTGGTGCAAAGCCCAACCCATTTGTGAGACCTGCCCTCGGGTAACCTGAAGTGGCTGGGACCCAAACCCCGGGCCTGACAGCACTAGCCCAGTTGAGAGGCACTAGGATCTTCACATACGGTAAAGACCTTACAGGAAAAACAGATGCAGACCCGAAGCCAAGCGTGGGCAGAGCCCAGGGGACCCTGCAGAAGACAGGGAAAAAGGATTGTAGGAGCCAGAGGTCAAGGACAATGCAAGAAAACTCAAGAGACTGAACTGACAACCAGGGAGCCTGTGTGGGACTGGCCTGAGCCCTCTGTATGTATGTGACAGTTGTGTAACCTGGTCCTCTTGTGGAACCCCCTGACAGTGGGAACAAGCGCTCTGAGTCTTTTACTGGCTTTTGGGACCCTACTCATATAGGGTCACCTTGCCCTGCCTTAATACATGGAGAGATGCTTAGTCTTATTGCAATTTGATATGCCATGTTTTGTTGATATCCATGGGAGACCTGCCCTTTCCTAAACAAAAATGGAGAAGTAGATGTGTGTGTGTGGGGGAGCAGTAGGAACAGAAGGGGCGGGGTGGGGAGAGGGACTGGGAGGGAAAACTGAGGTATAAAATAACATTTTAAAAAGAGGAAATAATAAAAGCATCTTGCAGGAGGCAATAGGCACAGGGGAATGAAGGCAGGCTTAAAGGACCAGGGAAGTACAGCAGCACACCAACACATGTCCAACCCTGAGGACCTGGGCCAGTATCGCCTCTGCTCTAACTGTTGTTGCAACCAGTTCTTGCGTCCATAAATAGCGACTGCCCCTTTAAAACTTGCCACGGTAGGTGCCTCCTGAATGGTATGCTTATAAAAGAGATGAATGGGCCTTGCCCACACAGTGCTGCTGTATTAGGAAGGCCCCATTTGTGGAGGTGGGGGTGGAGTGTGAGCTATAACTTCAGAAGCAAGAGCTAGTGTTAATCCTGGCTCCAGGAAGGCTTTTCAAAAGCAGGCAGCCGTGGAGCCGCCATAAGCAATACTTCGCCAATTAATCCTGGAACTCATTCTGTAAACCAGGCTGGCTCTGAACTCACAGAGATCATCCACCTGCCTCTACCTCCCAAGTGCCAGGATTAAAGGTGTGTGCCATCACATTTGGCTCCCAGTTTGATTTTTAAATTTTAAACTGTCGTGGCTATTGAACTTGATTAGCTTTGAATGCAAACAAGCACCTCATTGCCTTTCCAGTCTGGGTGTCATTGCCCACTCAGCTCAGATGGACAAGCCCCTCACTAGCAGCTCCTGGAGTCTTGATTCAGGGATCTGACTCTGAGACAGTGTCTGTCTTGTGCCACCAGAGGTCGCATGTTATCATTCACTCTGTGGAACAGTAGAGATGAAGGAAAGCTCCCCTGCCATCTCTCCTCTCTTCCCTTCTGACACTCCCCTTTACGCCTCATCAACCCCTCCCTTGAACCTGCTCATCAGCTCCTCAGTGACACTTCAGCTGAGCAGGTGCCACTTCTGATCACCCGCACTCAGACATCTCAGTGGTCACTCGGTGCCACAAGCAAGACACAAGTAGGTGGCTCTTCCTGCCCCGGTTTCTCACCCATCTCACCTAGGTGTTGGGTGAGCCCTTTGCTGAACTGTGGGGCAGCCCCTGTGATGGGGAAGTCCTATTGATGGCCCTGGGGCCCCTGGTCCCTGCTGAACACCAGGGCTTCCTCCTGGGGCCTCCTGCTCCTGCCTGGCCCCACATTCCTCCACACTCAGCAGGCAGATGAACACTTCGAAAAAATTTCTTTTAATTTACATTGGGGGTAGGGTGTGCTGTACCACTCACTGCATGCAGAGTCAGGAGAGACCTGAGAGTTGGCCCTGTCTCCACCATGGGAGTCCTGGCTGTTGAACTCGGGTCTTTGGGCTTGGCAGCAGGTGCCTTGACCTACTGAGCTGTCCCTGGACCCTTTTCAATCCAGCTGCACTGCTGCAATGTTAGGAAGTCTGGGGGCCTTCCATCCATGTCTCCTTGCTTCTAGCTGCAGGTCTGGACCCCTCCTGCACTTCTGGGCCCCAGACCTCACCTGGAGAAAGAAAGTTGTGCCTGTGTGTGGTGCTTATCTCTGAGTCACCCTGAGCAGGAGGGAACTGGAAAGGACTGGGGGAGCCAAGCCAGGAAGTGGACCAGCAATACCCACAGCCAGATAGCCATGAAAGATGTCCCAAGATGGAATGGGGTAGCCAGGCCTTTGCTGTCCCACGTTACAGTCTCCAGTGGACTTCCTTGGGGTGAAGCAGGAGATCGAGGAAGCCTGCCATCTGCACAGAGAGACCCACACCTGCCAGGCTTGACAGTTGGAGGCTGACTGCTGTCCCTGCCTGAAAATTCCATCCTTCCTTGAAGGTGACCTGGGCCACACATCAGTATATACCACAAGCACAGATGTCAACATCTGCATGGGACGTGGCCACAATGCTGGGCACAGCACAGTGAGTTAGCATTGTTGAGAAGCCACTCGTGGTGATGTTTACAGCCTGAATAGGGGCTGTGGCAGTCCTCTGTAAACCGAATAACCAGGCCAGTTCCTGTTTCCCTCGCTGAAGAATCTGCATTTCTAACAAGTTGAGAAGCAGAGGGATGCCAAGAGGAAAGCTGAAATGCATGCTGGGAGGGCAGGAGACAGCATCTTCCAGATGAAGGAATTGAGTCAGCTTTCCCCAGAGTTGTCAGACACCCTGGGCTTCGTACAGAGCCAACCCGGATTGCCACTGCACAATGCACCATTTATCTGGGGAACCATTAGGGGAGGATCAGGCTATTCCTTGATAGAGCGGTGGCACATGATTGCTGGCTGGGCAATGCAACACCAGGGCAAAACAGCAAAGCTGCCTCCTTTGGAGGATTTGGTTCCGATAGGAGAGGACCCAAGGGTTCTCTCTCTGTCCAGACACATCCCTCTCAACAATTCCTGCTTTTATTTATTTAGGTTTTTAGTGGGCAGGGTTTGAGAAAGGGTGTCACCATGTAGTTCTGGCTGTCCTGAAACTCACTATATAGACTAGGATGGCCTTGAACTCACAGAGATCCGCCTGCCTCTGCCTTTTGAGTGCTCTGGTTAAAGGTGTACGCCACCACATGCAGCAACAGTTTCTGCTTTTAAAATATGATGACCGGAGCTTCTATAGCCATCTTGAGATTTTGAGGCCACAACAAAGGTAGTCAGGGAGGGGAAGCCGATGGTGTGCAGAGGCAGAGGCAGAGGCAGGTGGAGAGTGAGCCTGTCACGCCATTTGGTTTCACCCCAGCCCCAATCCCTGTCTCACTGCTCTCAGAAGTAAGCGTCTACTTATTACTCACATAAAGGCCACTGTCAGTAGGTTTTTGGTGACCTGAAATCCAAAGAACTTGAAGCCAGGCAGAGAACTTGCAGGCCTGAGGAGCCATGCTTGTTTCCAGCAGCTGCTACCTTGTTTGGTAGCATGAGGAAACATGGTCTCATC